AGTCGCGGGTGTATGGGAATGGGGTGTGGGTGTTGCTGTTCACTTAGTGCAGCACTTCACCCATATCCATCCCATAGTCATACCCACACCTACACCCACCCACACCCACAGCCACACCTACACCCACACCCACACGCACACCCCACACCCACACCCACACCCACACCCACACCCACACCCACACCCACACATCCCACACCCAAGATAGGTGTGCGCATTATAGCTGTGTTCTACTACAATCGCAACCACACCCACACCCGCACAGCAAGATTATATTACGATTAAAAAAATTCCTGTAGCAAGACAGTCCTTTCAACAATCAGATCCTTCTAAAACAAATTCTCATGGATTCCTCAAAGAGTTGCTATAAGGAGATTTCAGGAATTATTTCGAATTAAAGGTAATTATTAGAGATGGCTTTTGACAGGAGTTACGAGAGAAATGTTCATGGATCTGAAATGTTTCGTAACTTTAGTACAAAGTTCTCAGCAAGATGTTCACCAGAGATAGAATTTCACGGAGACTATTTATAACACAATCCAAAAATTTGTGGATACCAGGTAGTAATTATTACATAACTAATGAAACAAATTCGACATGTGAAATTTAAGTGAGTAAGGAGAGGGCAGAAACTGATGAATCTGTTTTCGTCAAAATACAATATCATATGAATAAGTCTATCTGGAATGTTTCTACTTAGAATTTCACTAAAAAGGCACTGATTTCCCGATTTCGTAGCAATAGGAAAAATGAATTGTAATAAAATCGAGATGTAGATGTGGGTGTGAGTTTTGAGAAATGGAAACAAAAAATTCCCACTCACACTCACACCCACACAAGATTTCGGTCAACTTTTTACAATAATGAAATTTTTCGATGAAGTTTTATTGATAAAATCTTTGTACATAAATTAAGGCAATATAAATTTTAGTCAATAGAGTAAAGAGAATTCTAGATTACAATATAAAAACAAATAGTAGTTGTGAAAAAATGCTCAATATAGAGTATGAGCCATGGGTGATCAGTAGACTGTGCCAATTTTTTAGGGGAATCCATGGATGGCCTAGATAGAATAACCTCTGGATCAAATGTTTTAAGTCCATGGCAGCTTTTGCTAAATCCAGATATAGAGCGACTACGTCAAGCAGAAAGAATGGTGCATATTTGAGGCTCAAGCATCTCTTCAATATACACAAAGATTGAATGATTCCATGCATTTGTTCATTATCTATTGTTAGTAGTTTTTGGAATAATAAATAAATGAATAACTTGAGTTAGAATGTTTTATTTCTAATAAGAGATCAGATTTTTGGAATATAACTATTACCATCAGTTGACGTAGATGCAACCGAATGTATCACTTGAATCGATAATCAATGAAGCTAAGTGATATAATTGGATTACACATCTTTCTATAGATTTCATTGACACTCGAATGCTTAATTTGCATATGATCCCAGAATCGAATTTGAAAATCTTTTCTCACTATTGGAATAATGAATCCTGTGAAATAACATGAAACAGTCATTCTGAATTGATTAACGAAATTTATTATTTCATACCGATTGGACATAAAGATACTTGGTAAAGTACTAGATATCTCGAAGAAATTCTAGATTGTTTCAGATGGTTTTAAAGTTAGACATTTTTTGTGAGAAGAGTTATTGTATTCGATGTTTTCATTCGGCTTTGTTATTGTTATTTGTTTCACCGTCGAATTCAAGGAAGATCCGGAAACATTTTCATGATTTAACGTCATAATAGAATTATTTTTGTTTATATTGTACCTTTAGCATATCTTTCATCTTGACTATACTGGCATAAGGCTAATTGAATCTTCTCTTGTCTCGATAGAATCTTCATGAAGTTTGTCATTCACATAGATATATTAATATCTGAGTAGGCCAAGATTAAAAAATATTCTTGACATTAAAGAGAGCAGAAAATGTTAAATGTAACACAGCAAAGGGAATTGTGCAAAAGATACGGTTAATGTTTCTCCGGATTTATCCATGTGTTGTAACATTATTTTCATTTTTGGTATCGTTAGAATTTGTTTGTGAATAATTCTCAACTCTTCTCTGATAAATGTATTTATTCATTTGACTTTTCTTGCTTGTGCAAGTCTTTTTGTTAAGAGATACTTGAATTCGTCGCATCTATCCAGTTGGGTATCGGTATTCATGAGAAAAAAATGTTTGTTGACAAAAAAAGATGACAGGAAGAAAAGGAATATACAGACTTAGTCATGAATTTACATTTCAAACAATAAGGAAAAAAACAATATTTAGTTGTATACTAGTAATATAGACAAGATAAAATAATCATAGAAACACAAAAATAAATATATGTTTCGTGAAAAAATAATAAAATAAAAATGAATAATTTGAATAAAGAAAAAGAAAAAATATACAAGGTAAATATATGTAGATGATGCATAAAAATAAAGGAATTTTTAACATCTCTGGTTTAACACAAAATATTTTTCTAAACAAGTTTTATTAGTTGAAAAACCGAATAATTATTTATGCTAGAGAATTTATCTTTTCTTAAAGTCAGTTAAAATCTGAAAGTCATACGAACAATTTATTTTAATGTAAGAAGCTCGTTTTTTATGAATATGAAGGGGTTCAAATGGTGACTGAATGATTTGAGACATCAACATACAAAAAGGGTCCGAAAAGTTCTTTCTTCATCAATTCGTTGAGATGATTTACATGTAAATATGTGAATTTTTCTACTAAGTTCGATACGAACATGGAAAAACCGACTTTTAACACTATTCAATGTTAAGTTTCGATTCAATAAGCAGCTCGGTACCCGTAATAATTTTTCGAGCTTAAAAAGACTTCTCATACCATTGTTTAACTTCTTCAAAACGAATCAGTAATTTTCAGTAACCAAAGTGATACGAAAATTCTTGATTTTTTTCAATAATGTAAACGATCATTATCACTACATCGTCGTTATTTATGGATGTTAAAGTAGTGAGTCAAATAATCATAAAAATCAATTAGCACATATAAAATAAGGTGACAGAAAAATAAATTAATTTCGAACATTTAAGTAGTCAAACGATAAAATATTAACTCTCATAAAAATTTTGAAAACTCTATATTAGCACAACATGAAGATTTTTGATTCTACACCAAAACATGTAAAAGATACTTAATCGAATATTCTAGTGTTATCGTGATTAGAAATATAATGACTTTGATCAGTACAAGTTCAGTTGAAAGATTTTAGATATTTTCGAACTAGTTTATACAAAGTCAGCGAAGAACTTTCAAAAATTCTTAACACAATAAAAGTAAAAATGCTGGACGTAGAGATTTATATTTTTGATTCAAAGATCGGGAAATTTTATTGATAGACATGAAGATAAGGTGTAAGTATTGTTGAAACGTTGAGTCACTATCAGAATTATTATTCTCGAATGGATACTAATCCATCAACTTTATATAATCAAAATTTCGTTTATTCACAGTATTTGATGTTCCAGACACTTGCTTTTCTAACACTTCCAACATGTTATTTCTCTGTCTACTCTCACTCTCCTGATTTTATCGCTTCACTTAAACTCATAGGTAATTTTATAGAGATTTGGAACGACAATTAAAAAATGATCTCATTTCAATTCATTAATAAAAAATATTAATATCCATTAAGTAGCATATTTCCATCAAACAGTTGGAGTAATACAGTAAGACAGCGAATTGAGTGAACTAAGTGCGGAAACATTTTCATGTTTTTTTATTGGTATTCGTGGATATTAATATTTTTTATTAATACTTGCTAAAGTCTTTATTTTGTTGTTTTATCAACCATAAAAAGATATTGAAATCATTGACAAATCGTTTTTTGTTAATTGGGTTACGGTAAAACTTTTAGTTTATAGCAAGTTGCATTTCTGTATATCTGATTATGTACTCTGTCATCGAATCTGATATGAACTTTATTGTTGTACTAAGTTCGATAAACTCCGTACTCAATATATTAGTATGTACTGCTTTTAAGAGATCTACAACTTTCTTTTTATATATGTTACATTGTTTAAAATCACAACGATTCAATTTCTCTAGAACATCATGGTCACATGAATTTTCATCAACGACACCTAATTCATTTATGATGTTCTGTGTTTCCAGAGAGAGTATGATATCTTTCGTATTGTCTTTACTAATACCACAATGGAGTACTAAGATCGATTCTATTGATGATCGAATTTTGTTCGATTGTGAAAGCTTCGCTTCAAGTTGCTTGCAAAATTTTTTAATAATAGCGTCGATTTCAGATTTATTCTTCAAAATACCGATTGTTTGCATACATAAACAGAATGTCCCTGCTAAGACGTTTAAATCTGATGCCTTAATATACTTGTTTATTAGTTTAGCGATGGAGATCCATTGTATTTCAGAATCATCTTTATTCAAAGTAACTATCTGATCTACCACGTGTTCGATGACTTTTGTGAGTTGTTTTTGCGGATTAAATAAATCGATTGCATACATTCTACTCATTAGTTTTATTAGTCCAAATTTGTAAAAATTCGTCTCAATCTTATCTTGTATGAATCTCGATATGTACGGTTTTAAGCGCTCTAATACAAAAGGTGCACTAACGGCTATGATCTTACTAGTAACTAATAGTGATTGTGAAGCAGCTTGTATTGCGAAAGATTTCAAAACATGACCACCTGCATGATGTCCAACCTTAGCTATTCCATGAATTATAGTTTTAGTATGTGTTATTGTATGTGTGGCTGCTTGTTCACTCATTTCGCTTCCTATTCCTACTGCAATGTTTTGCGCTGCTTTACTAGCACCTTTTATTGATGAAATTCCCATTGATATTGCTGATATAGCCAAACTTAATGTTTTCTGCTTCGCATAATTTGACCAGGAAAATTTTCTTGAATAGGCAGCAACACCAGCGATGGTTAAATCAACTAATCCTTCAGTTAGTAGACCCATCCCTATAGTACCACCGACTCCGGTCGCCATCAATGCTCCGCCTACACCCATCTGAATGGCAGCAAGCATAACTACAACTGCAATACTTCTCCATGGAATGAATCCTTTCTCGTTAATTTGAAGTAAATATTCGATACCTCGCTGAGAAAATTCTGAAAGTTCTAATTGTGGCATTGATTCATTCATAAATAAATCGCTTAAAGTCTTCACTTTGATGATATCAATGTTCTCTTGTTCTATCGGAGCAATTTCTATAAGTCGTTGTGTTTGATGATTTGTTAGATTTTTAAATTTTAATATAAAATCAAGATTCTTTTTTCGTACTTGTTCAATAAGAATCTTTGCAGTTTCTTTTTTTAATTTATCGAAGTGAAAATTTACCAATTCATGATCTAGACCATTTAGAAGACTTTCAAGTTTTACATTAATAAATCTAATAAGAAAACTTGCATTTGGACACATATCAATTATCCCTTGTGCAATGCTTTTTTTTATATCGATCAATCCAATAGTCACCAAGCTACTATTAATTTTGTTAATCGTTTCCTCAACTTTTGCCCTCTCTACTGTTTTCTTAATACTTTCAATATTTTTATTTGACTTTTCTTCAAAAGAAATCTCTACATATTGTGTTTCTAATAGACTAATAACATCTATCAATACTTCTTTACTGTCAGTTATTTCAAGAACAACATTCTGCGATTGTATTTTATTTAATTTTTCTTGTACATTTGCTTTGTCGAATTGAATGAATTCTATAGTTTGATTTGAATAAATTAAGACTTTTTCATTCAAAACTTTTGATGCTTTATTCGCATCCATAAAAGTCAAATTAAAATCTACGTGTTTTTCTGTTTGTTGTTTGATAATTTGTATTACGTCTCTTATCTGCAAATCATGTTTTTCTTTTAGTCTTCCATTGTTCATTTTCATTTCTAAATTAACTTTACATGAATCAGGAGACCAAAATTCCGGTAGTAAATGACAATGAAAAAATGAACTATTATCTTCTAATTGTGCTAATGCTACTTCTTTTGTTACTTGTTTAATTTCAATATTAGGATTTAAAAATTCTTTCAAAACTCCTGCGTTAATCTCCATTATACTAATACTAATATCTTTATAATCACTGCTTAACTCTATATTTTTTCTGACACGATTGGGAACTGATAGAGTCATTAAACTTAGGACTCTATCGTTCTTTGACTCTGGTTCAGTTTTAGAAAATGCACTGTCGATGGTTTTTATCGCTTGATCAATAGTTCCACAATCTTTTCTGACAGTTAAGTCATTAAAAGCTACTTCATATGTTCTACCATCTTTTAAACTTTTGAGAGGTTCTAAAAAATCTTGTTGAATATAACCATTTTTCGATGTGACAGCCTCGTAAATTAATGCATAAACTCTTGAATGTTTGCTTCTATCGAGGATTGTTATTTCCTCATGATGAAAAGATGACAGATCATTGATCAAATGTTGATTTGTTATTGTAAACGAATCACATTCATTTTTTTCTTTTTGCTTAAATATAACCTTAAATATATTTTCATTTTCAACAACAATAATAATTTTTTTGCGTTCTCTGACGGAAGCTAAATGTCGATGTACTTCATTGGGAGAAATCAAATCGATATCGCACAATTTTCCATTTTCTTTATCAAATTTAGCATGTAAAATAGTCTCCTTTAACACTCCTCTCCTGTTCGACTTAGCCTCTGTAGTTGAGTGTTGACTTATTTCTGTTATTTGAATGAATCTTTGAGATTTTTCAATAATACTTATAGCTTTTTCTAGACTATTAATGTAACTCGTGAGAATATTGATTTTTTGAAATAACTGCTTTGATAGAGGAGTTTGAATATGTGGACATCTTTGTTCAAGTAGTATTTGCATAGTTGCTAGAATGCTCATCTCTTCACTCAAAACTACAAGTGCTTTATTAAATTCTATGACAGCTGTGCTTTTATAGTTGACATCTTGCTTTTTTCGAAGCATAAATCGTCTCATACCCTTTAATAATAACCAGCCTTTACCAACATATACACTTGCTGAATGTCTCTCATCAAGTTTAATCGCTTGATCAAAATGTGTCATAGCTTTGTCATAGTTGTCGTTTAACAAAGAATCATTCATAACTAAGTCATTACCGATGATTATATGATAATATGGATTTTTAATGACACAGTTTTGATCGTAATCATGAATTATTTCTTGTTGAAATTTTTCATAATCTTGCTCAATTTTTTTTCTATTAATCGGAAATTCTTCACTATCAATTTTACGTAAAAAATGAGCCCAACGCTCTTCAATACTAAGAATTATATTAGATTCCAATACAGAAGGATGGACATGTTTGAATAGAACTGTTGCCTGTTGCTTTAATTTTCTCGAGATATCTGCTTTCTCTCGAATTTTTGTACGTATGCCTTTTAATAAATTACAAAATTTTAAAAACAGATCATCTTTTAAAATAATTACTTCTAATTCTCCTTCCATGAAATCCTTTAGCTTTTGTTTTTCATTTTCATCTCTTGTTTCTGTAATTTTCTCAGTGTTCAAATCTTTACAATTCGATAAATGGCTAGTATTTAGTATTTTTTGACCAGTACCTGGTTTACCCTGTCGTGCGGTTCTACCGAATGCCTGTTCCTCGACACGTTTATTAGATGGCATAAACGTGATAATAACATGAAGACCGCCGTGTTTTTTAATATCGTCTGTTTTTATATCTGTACCACGTCCTGCTAAGTTCGTAGCTATAATGATTTCTCCTGGTTTTATTTTTTCTACGTTCTTTTCCTGATCCATATTATTCATAATATATAATTTAAGTGCACTTGAATGACGGCAATTTCGAAGTTTCGCTGCTAGTTGTTGGCTACGAGCGATTGTCTCACAAATAATGAGAGTTCCTCTATCTTTATTCGATTCATTGATTGCACGATTGCAAATCGTCTCCAGCCACTCACTTTCACTGTTCGTAAGAATATCAGGAAACGAAATATATTGTTTTTTATATGAACTAGGTATGATTACAAGATCTACGTCGTACACCTTAGTCATCAATTTTTGCAAATAAAGCATAATCTAAAAATGACATCAGAAACTTTTATGACAAATTTTTTATCTAATAGAGGATATTTTAAAAAGTATCGCACGAATTTATTTGGCTTAACTGGTACACTGGGTTCTGATGCATCTCGAAAAGTGCTGACTAAGGTGTACGACGTAGATCTTGTAATCATACCTAGTTCATATAAAAAACAATATATTTCGTTTCCTGA